CTAGTTAAAAATAAGATTAAAACACCTCGGGTTAGGTTCTTGTGTGTCACCTTGAATACATCACTGTCTAGTTGCTATCTGCACAGTTATAAAATGCTCTACCATGGAAAGGCAGCCCTAGAACCGCCTTCTAATAAAACCTCTCCCTCTCCCCTCTCCTTTCCTCCCTCCAGCTTTCCAAAAGGAAGACAGCTTTGCATACCCCACCAGCCGTCTTTATTGCAAATCCCAGTCTTTGTTGTACACCCATCACTGTGTGGTCAGATGGGTCCCCAGATCCCTGTGTGGGTGTCCACTTGGAGTCCAGACCATCCCCATCTGAGGACCAGCATCTGGAAACATCTACTCACCACATCCATCCCAGGGAAGCTGCTTATTCTTGCCTCAACTAGAGGATTCCAAGCCTCGTTTTAACACAGCACAGAAAGCCAGCTAAAAATCACAGCCTAAGCTGGGTGTGGTGGAGCATGTCTGTAATCCCAGCACTTGGGAGGCTGAGGTAGGATTGCTGCCAGTTCTAGACCAATGGGGGCTATATAGTGAGTTCAAGGCCAGCTTGGACTACAGAGCAAGATCTTATCTCAAAAAACAAACAAAGCAAAAAAAAACTCCCAAACCCAAAAACCCCATAAGTTGAGCTCTAGTGGGGAGAGAAAGGAAGGGAGAGGGGAAACGTGGGGAGATAGGGTGCAAGGACAGGGAGAGGGAGAGAAGGAGAGGGAGAGATGCAAGACTACGGAAGATACTTGAGGTGGAGAAGAAGAGGTGATCTTCAGTCTCATAGCCATAGAGGAGCTTCCTGAGGGCCTGGCTGGGCAGGCAGCCATATACTGGCCTCACAGCCCCAGAACTACTGTCCACTCTTACGGCCACCATAAGGTGACAGCCACAGACAGTGGAGAAGAGGAAGGAGAAAAGGAAGCTCCTGCAGGGTCCCAGACCAGCCAGGGCACCCATCTGCACTCCTCTCCCTTGCTCTGCCATGGTCTCCTTTTCCCAAAGCACTGCATGGCCCTGACCACGCCAGTTCTTCCCTGCAGGACCCACGACCTCGTTGTCAAGAGGGAGCTGGGTCAGCTCTTCTGAAGTGACTTCTGTAAGGCTGATTTGGACATGACTCACATTACCCAACCTGTCTCCCAGCAGAGACACTCAGCTCAGCACCGATGCCCTCGGGAAACACAAGGTGTCATAAAAGAGATGAGATAGGGCACAGATCTTCCAAACACCTGTGCATCTGAAGACACCCAAATATTTACACCAGATGCCTCAAGCACTGCACCCACCGAGACACAAGACATCTAGAGAACACTGACCACTGACGTCCCTTGCCTCCTTCCAGGCCCTATAAAAAAATCCCACCTCTCTTTGCTCCCTACAGATGGCCTTTTCACCTCTATCTGCCTGTTCCCAGATCCAATAAATTCCACACCATGCTGCCTTTACACAAGCCTCACAGTCTCGGCTGCCTCGGCCTTGTGTTGTTCCTTACAACTTCCTGTCCATCATTACCAGTTTAGCTGTAATATTCCAAGGACAGCACATCCTGGTTGCATTTTTAAAATTCCTGCTAGCAATGACAAGCAGGGAAGCGAGGAAAGGATGAAGCCAGCAGGAGGGCGTGACATCTGTTCCTGCCCTCCCTCCCCTGCCTTCTGCATTTACATCCCATACAGACAGCAGTCTGCATCCAACTGCCATCCCGCAGGCTTCTTCAGGACTGACGAGGAAACACAGGAGGTTGAGGGAGAGGGGGTGACAATGTGTGTGAAGAACATGGAGCAGGTTTTCTCTGAGTTTCAGGATGCATTACTGGTCCAGAAGCCTGGTTGCAAAGTGCTGGCAGCTCTCTGTGCTCTGCCAAACAGTGTTGACTGCAGGGCAGTTCTGTCCTCTTATTAGAAATGAACCCAGAGGTGGTATATTTTCTCCAGCATAGCAACCCAGCCTCTGGGAGAAAAGTGGGTGTGGGGTCAGCAGAAAAGGCCAGGAGAGATGAGAAGCGATGGCGTCACTTCAGCAGAAAGAAAGCAGGCAAGGAGCTCCTGAGGGAAAGCTTTCTCTGCGGCCACCCACGGCCCCACACCTGCTCCTGCTGGTCTCGGCACCTACGGGAAAGGTAGCTAAGCGTAGGCACTGCCTCAGTGGCCTGGAATCAGTTTGGGGGTGAGGGCTGGAGAAGCACAATGGACAGTCCCCAGTGAACCAGCTGGCCTGCCCCTTTCAGTGCATAGCTGTGTGTTCCAAGCTGTGGCTGCAGTGATGTTTCTGGAGAGAAGTGGCCCAGCTTCTCATGGACAGGTAGGGGGCTTAGGGGTGGGACAGCAATTAACCAAATGGATCCATTTGTGAAACTGAAGGCCTGGGGGAGCTGGCAGTCTCTCCTGGTCAGGTGTCTGCTCCCAGTCACCAAGGTGACGACAAGTCTTGTCAAAGCGCTGGTGCTCGTGCTGGGGTGGGAGGTTTGGAAGCAGATACCTGGGGTGACTGCAGAGGCAGTGGCCTGGGAACAAGGAGAGAAGAGCCAGAGAGAGGAAGCACTCCTTCAGAGGCTTCCCAGCCAGAGCTACAAGACGAGATTTGCAGCTGGAACCCAGAACACGCTTGCTCAGAAACATTTGGCAGTGTTTCGATGACATTTGGAGCAACAACGCCCTCCCCCACTCCACCACAACTGAAACAGAGCCCCAACTCAAGGGCCGAGTGTGCAGGTCCTAGGTGGGCTTTTTTGGAAGGGGTGCGTGGGAGATTCTAGGCAAGCACATTAATCTTCATGCACATCTATTCTGTTGTCAGGAAGATAGTGATGACAGGTTCCGTCTCGGGCTGCTGTGAGGCGGAACACAGGGAGCTACATGTGAGCACCTGTGCCCCAGTGTTGATAATCATCACGGCTGCCATCACTGGCTAAAGCAACCCAGCTCAGCTCCACTCTCAGGAATTCTTATCAGTCCCACAAGAGCCACATGTCCCTGCATGTGTGTTCTCTTTACACTGTCCTTTTTCAAAAAGTTCCTCTGTGTGTCTGAAGGTCTCCAACAGGTACTCCCTTTGCAGTATGTGGAGAGAGAAAACAATGTGCGTGGCAGGAACACAACCCTTCACACAGGGCATCACTGTTCTAGAAAGTCTTTCTCTCTCTGTGTGTCTCTCTCCAGTACTGACGATTAAACCCAAGCCTCATGCATGCTAGGCGAGTGTTCTACCACTGAGTGGTATTACCAGCCCTTTTCATTTTTTATTTTGAGACAGGGTCTCGTTAGGTTGCCCAAGATGGGTTTCAACTTGTGATCCTCCTGACTCAGCCTCCCAAGCACCTGGGATTGCATGTGTGCACTAACCATGCAGGGCTGGAAATAGCTTCTTGGAGTCTCAGTTTACTCATCAATCAAATGGAAACAATGACACAGGTTCTGCTCTTATCACATGTTGGAGGGAGTCAAGTAACACAATTGACGCAGAGACACACCATAGAAAGGATGAAACTCCTAGCCAACCGGGATCGCTGGTGACCCTGGAAGTGTGTGGAGGCCCAAGTTGGACTAGGGTGCTCTGGTCAGCCAGGCTGCAGCAGGTAGCTCCCTTGGGGACTTCTAGATTTTGCTGCTGCATAGGAAGGTCGCTGTCATCAGAAATGGGAGACTCTAGTTTCCCTAGAGTCTGGACAGACACCCCAGGAGGCCAGCAGGAGATTTTGGGGCAGGAGGGATAGAGTGGGGAGGGTACATGAAAAGTGGTGGGACGAGGCACAGTGACCCCTGCTGCGAACCTGGCATATGTTCACATGCAGTTAGTATGTTACACACACTGCATGTCTAACTAAACGGGTACAGCACTTTCATGATGAGAGTCTTCACGTGTAGTAAAGAAAAAAACCACATATTGTGATACTCCCTAGCCCCACCACTATTGTATATTCAAGAACTGTGTTTAGGAACAGTGAGGATGGAAAAGTCTTACAGTCTGATCATCTCCCAGGTGGTCCCCGGAGCCTGACGCTGTACTGTGGACAGCCAGAGCCTTCCCGGGGCCCCACACAGACTATGTGATGCAGGTCTATCTGTACTTCCACTGATACCAGCAACAACCTTCCCACCTACTGAGCTGAGCACCTACGATGTGCCAGGCACTCTTTCACCTTCACAGTAAGATCTGTATTACTGTTCCGATTGCATAAACTGAGACAAGGTTCAGAGTAGTTAAAAAACTTTCCAGAGATCACATAGCAGATGGGGCTGGACTAGATGGGGCTCAGACCCATGTTATCAGCATGCGTTGCCTATTTTTTTCTGCCTTCTCCTTCTCTCCTCCCCAGCTTTTTCTGGAGAACACAAGACACCTGGGGAGGAATCTAAACTCAGAAAGATGTTGCACTGAGAAAGAGATGATCAAACCCTGAGAAAAAGGAGCCCAAGCCTTGGGGTCAGACCACCCCGCCCTGCAGCCTCCGGGCAGCCAATTATTCCTCTGGTAAAATCGCAGCTCTGCCACCCTGCGTGAGGAAGCAGGAGAGGCCAGAGCAGTGGGAAACTCAGCCAGAACAGAACAATGCAGATCCTGCACACAGGGTGTAGCTTCAGTGCTGTAGCCTCGCGGTTTCCTGCATCCCGACAGCTGTCCATCTGCCAGGGCCCTGGGCACCGCCCAGAGGAGGGCTTCTCAGCTGCCCCATATATGCCAGAGTGGTCCCAGATTGTGGGGGCCCAGGCTAAGGAGGAATTCAGGCCACAAGCAAAACTGCTTCCCAATTTCCCAGTTCAGTGGACAAGGAGGGACAGAGGTGAGGATGATACCGCTGACTGAACCTGCAGGGAAGAGGAAGCCAGAGGCCCCGCCCCACAGGCCAGCCGCGGTGCATGGAAGCCCTGGGGATGGCTGCTCTGAGGTGACTCTGGGTTTCTACCCCTGGGCAGAAGGAAGCAACCACCCTGGGAAGATGCCTGGAGCGGGAAGCCAGAGGTCCACTCCTGGTCAGTCGGTCGGTCGCAGGTCCCACTCACCTCCTCTGCCTCATTCAGCCTCCTCCTTGTAGCACCAGGGGCAGCTCTGCAGCAGCGTGCAGAGCACAGGAGAGCTCCAGGGCCCCAAACTGCACATACGTCAGTCAACCTGTCTCAAAGCAAGCACAAAGGAGAGCCCACGGTTACTCCAGCAAAGGGGAAGCGGCCCTGTGGTTTTCAGCGTGCTCATTCACTGGGGAAATGACATCTGCGTCCACATCCATTTGTAAAGTTTTGCATAGCGTAAGACCTTTTTGTCTGAAGCTCAGTCTGCAAGGTGCTTAATCACATTGGTCTTTGGGGAGAGGTGACTGTCCCTGTCATCCTTCTGGTCATTTTTTAGTGCCTGACATCAGTGGCTAATTCCTGATTCTTTTCACCTGAAGCAGTTCAGCTATAGCTTGAAGAATCTCCTACACCCAAGCGAGAATTTACTCATAATTATTTCATTAATTTCTTATCTTCCTTAAGAGAACTACAATGTTTTCCTCCTCTGTCTATAAATAAATGAATCAAGTTCATCATAAATCCATAACACATTGAAAAGAGGTCTAACTTTACAGTTCTTAGATCTCGTTTATTATGTCATTGAGGGTGGGGCTCTTGACTATGTGTGCCTCAGTTTCTTCATCTGTAAAATGGGGAGAAAGTAGGGTAGTTCAGCTTGATCACTGGGCTACTGGTTAGCATATGGGGACTCGATCCTCAGCTCCAGTTCCTTGGGGCAATCATTTTTAACTTTTCTCAGCACAAATAATGTCTCATTTAATTCCATACTTTGCATTAGAGTGTGTCTGTAGGAAATGATAAACCCACCATAGTAGGAGAAGATGGCAAGATACATCAAAATAAATATGCATCTACTGATTCAGCAATCTTAGATCTATGAGTCTATTTGAAATGTGTCCTATATCCCTATGTTGTGAGACCAGGTTATTAATCAGAAATACAACAGGAAAAAGTATGTCTTACATTCTACTACTTATTTAAGAAAGGGGGAAGGAATGCAAAAGTATATGTGTATATACTAGCTCAGTAAGAGGATAGAGCATGAACTACATTTTAAAAGGTCACTGGAGGGAAACGAGGAGGCAGGCACAGGAGTTTTACATTCAAAGCTGACTTCGAATATGATCAGTCTCCAATTTAAGAATGACATCTAGAGAACATTTGTAAGTTGGATTTGTTTGTTAAGTCTGTCAAAGTGAGTCTTACACACCTTTGATACAAATAAACGTAGAATGTAAAGCATAAACACACCAAATGCAAGGTCTGTTTATATCCATGAACGCTTGCTACTCAAATGTAAGTGAGTGACTTACTGTATACTTTGCTGTGTGACTTTAACATGTGTAAATATGTGATTTTATGTAACACAGTTAAAAACATTAAAAGAAGTTCCTAAAAATGAAAATGAGACAAATGAATCTATGATGGCAGTGGCTGATGTAACACACATAGAGAAATTAAAACATGGTAATTTGACTATATTTCATTCAATGGATATACCTGCAAGAATAAAAAGAACTATCTCACCCCCTCTTAAGAGTTCAATTCCCTGATACCAACACAAAAACAAAAACAAAAACAAAAACAAAAACCCCTAAATTTGTTCCAACAATTATATTATGGATTCTACTACGGTATTATTGTTATTGTTATTCTAAGACTTTTACATGTTCATTATGGGATAAATCAAGTCATAATATTAATGCTGCTGAAAAATAAAATTTTTTTGGTGAAGATACTCATGTAGGATTTATGGGATTGGATAAAATTCTGTAACTTTTATTTTTTTAAGACAGGGTCTCACTATGCAGCTGTCTTAGTGACTTTTCTCATTGCTGAGATAAAATACTCAACACCCAAAGTTAAAGGGAGAAAGGTTTATTTAGCTCATAGTTTGTAAAGATTTTAGCCCATAATGGGCTGGTTCCAAGGTCAGGTAGCACATGGCAGAGGGCCACGGTTCATGGCGGTAGAAGCCAGTAAAAACAAGAGAGAGCGAGACAAGCCTCTTTTTTCTTTTATGTTGTATCCAGTCTATTGGGATTAGGGCAGTGCCAATCCAATCAGCAGACTGATCCAGCAGTCACTCACCTTTAATCTCAGCACCCTTAATCCCAACATTGTACTATGAGTCAATCATATACCCTAGATTCAGCCACATCTGAAAAAAAGTCTATGACCCCATGAGGCTTTGGGAGGACATCCAAACAACACAAACCATAACATGACATTATCACCTGTTTTACTTCCCAGCTGCCATGAACTAAACATTTATGCTCTCTGCCTTGTTTTTCTGCCAGGATATCAGGGAGTTGCAATGTGGTAGTATATAGAAAGGTTCTTGGAAAACAAATCTTTATATAAATATTTTACTTCTGTTTGAAAGCTGGAGAACAGACCTCTCCTAAGGCACTGTTGTAAAAATCTAAGGAGACCTATGATTTTGAAGATGACAGACAGACAGAATCCTTAAAGACACGTGAGATTACACTCACCACCAAAGCTTTTTATCATCATTATTAGGGCTTTGGGGTTAAATAAGAAGGGCCCAGGGAATAGATCTCCTTGTGGTCCAGGGACAGGAAAGTACCAGAAAGGATACTTGAAGCTCAGGGGAGGAGTAGGCATCAAAGGTATCCTGATATTTTGCAGCTGTGAGAAGTCTCGAGAATTAATGTACAACATGTGGGTTACAGGATACTCACTGCTAAATGAGTACATTTTGACTCTAGTCACACACACAAACACACATTCACACACAATGGTAAATATATCAGATGATACATATGTTAATTTGTGTCCATACTAACCAGTTACTATGTGTATATATCTCATAACATGTTGTATATATGAATGATACACATATATAATAAAATTTACTGAAAAAAGAATATGACATATGTTTCAATTTGTTCAAATTTTCTTTGGAATATTTCAATTGCATTCTGAAGTCTTCTCATGTAGATTATTCATATCTTATTATTATGTACCTGATCATATACTAAATTAGTTCCTGCATACTAATTCTGACTATATTGAACGTTATTGCTCTAAATAATCCAGAAGAAATTTTTAAAAACTCCTTGATTGAATGAAAATGAAAATACAACATATCAAAAGCCACAGGACACAGATAAAGTGCTGCTGAGAGAAATCTATAGTACTAAATCTACCCACTCAAAAATAGGAAAATCTAAGGCCCCACCTCAATAAACTAAAAAGAGAAGAGCAAAATAAATCAAGCCAAGTAAAGGAAGGAAATAATAAAGCGCACAAATCAATGAAATTGAAAGTAAAAACAACAGAGAAAATGAATAAAATAATGAGCTGGTTCTTTGAAGAGAGAAGTATAATTGGCAAAACTATAGCAAAACTAAACAGGAAAAGAAGAAACATGATCAGGCAGGAGAAAGGAGATGCCACTTCCAAAGCTAGGACATCAACAGAATGATAAATAAACACTATGAAAAATCCTGCACACACAAATTTAAAAAGTTAGATGAAATGGACTGGACCCTCAAAACACAGATCATCACAACTTCCAATGTGTAATAAAATAATTTACACAGCTTAGTGAGCTTTAATAACTTAGTAATTACTAAAGAAATTGAATTTACAAATTTAAAACTCTTTACAAAAGGAAACTGTCAGGACCAGATAGTTTTGCTGAAGATTCTACCAGGCTTGTAAAGAGGATGTAATGTTACGTCTGTAAAACCTCTTCACAACAGAACAGGAAGAACACTTCCCAGCGCGTTTCATGAAGTTACTGTCATCACGATATCAAAACCAAAGAAAGTAAAAACAACACACGTACACAAAAAGAAAAAGAAAACCACAGGCCAAATAGTATCTCCAATGAATATAAATTTAAAAATCTTAAAATATTAGCAAACAGAATTCAGCAATACATAGAGAGAATTACACCCTCTGACTAAATGTAAGTCAGTTGTACAGGGATGCAAACCTAGTTTACTATTCTAAATTTTATCAGTAGAGTCCACCATATGAACATGCCACAGAAAAAAGAATCATACAATATATCAATCAATACAGAAAAAGCATCTGATAAAATTCAACATTCATTCATTCATGATAAAACAGAAAAACAGGTTGGAGAGAAACTTCCTCAACTCAATTTTTTAAAAAATTTAAAAATTTACTTAAAGGTGAAAAACTGTTTTTCTTGAAATTGGAGACAAGGCAAGAACATCCACTTCCATCCCTCTTACTCAGATAGTGTTAAAACAGCAAACTCAGGCAAGATCAGGGATTAAAGGGAGTGAAAGTTAGGAAGGGAGATATTTCAAAGATGACGCCCAAGGACTCTACTTTTAAATTTCTTAATTTATCAAAGTTAAAAAGGTAAGATAAACATACAAAAATCAACTGTAATTCTATATATAAGCCATGAACACATAGAGAGAAAAAAATGAAATATAGTACCATTTACAGTTTCCCCTAAATCTTTAGGTATAAAATGGAAAACCAAACATGTATAAGGCCCATATGCTGAACATCTTACAATATTGATAAACCATCAAATATATAAATTAATAGAGATATATCATGCTCAAGAGTTAGAAAAAAACACAATAAAGATGCAAATTATTCCCAAATTCACACCTAGTAAATACAATCTTTATCAAACCCCAGAAAAATTTTAGTAACTGTAGATTATTCTAAAATTCATAGGGGAAGACAAGGAACACAGGAGGAAGAATCAGTCAACCCAATTTAAAGACTTATTTATAGTCACAGTAGTCAAAACTATGTAGCACTGGCCAAGTAACAGACTAAGATCAATGGAACATAAAAGAGATTCCAAAAACAGACCCATACAAATATGCTTTGTGGCAAACAATGCAATGGAGAAAAGATGGCCTTTCCACGAATGGTGCTGGAGACTTTTGCAATCCACCAGGGAAGAACAAAAAGAATGTGGAGGGTGAGGGAGAGGGGGCAGAGGGGAATCAACACAAACCCTTATATAGAAGCAGAACTCAAAATAGAAAGCAGACTTAAATATAAAACTTATAGAAGAAACACAGGAGCAAATCTTAAGATATAGGGTGAGGCAAATGGTTCTTAGATTTGACA